AGTGAACAGAACCTGACCTTCATGTCATTTGAGAAAGGGAGAGTCTTTAGCTGGAGTCTCTGCAATGAGCAATGTGTGTACACAGGCAAGTGAGCACGTGAATACGTGTATGCATTTAGCTCTGATTTATTTCTGTACATTTGATTCCATTCTTTCTGTTTCTTTTCAAATGTGACGGAAGCTATTTAACTCTCTGATTAACTCACCTCCCTGTATGAGTTGTTTTCTGTGATATATTCCAGCACTGTATAACCTTTCTGGAAGCCGACTCTCTGCTGTTGGGATGAATTCCTCCCTGATGTGTAGTGTGGCACATTTGTTCTATTTACTGGTGTTGGAATGAGGTTCTGCATTTGCTGTAAATCAGATCTGGAGGAACATTTCAGTGTCATGTCAGGTTCTGCTAGTTTGGTAGTATTCCGACATTACATGAGGTCGTCTCAGCAAGAAAAGGTATCATGTCACATCTCCTTCTGCACAGTTGCAGTTTCAAGGTCCCCAGAACTTTAGTTTGGACTTGGTCTCAGTAAATCTCAGTAAAATCTGACTCTTGTTTCGTGCTGACATTTCAAGGGCTCCAAAACCCAGTGATCTTCTTAGCCCATCTGAGCTCATCAGTACTGTCAAAACATTTCTTTATTCAAAGGCTTAAGAGTGATATGAGCAATGTCATTGATCCCTCCTTCCTTAAATATCTCCTTTATTTTCTATTCAGTTTCCTTAATAACTTATGTACACACAGTCCTTTGCTGAACAGGCTTTAGTGTTCGTATCACAACCATGCGAATATAACTGGAGAACAAAAATCCTTATTACAGCATTTGGTGGTATCACGGGCACATAAAGGAAATATATTCCCTACAGCTTTATTGCCTTACCGAGCAATTCTCAGCAACCATTTCCTTCACTAGCTAGAAAATATAGAAGCTTCTTGTGGGGTGGTCATGGGTGATGAGACGACACAGCAAAATACCGCTGATAGGTCTGGTAATGAAGATAGCACATCTATGCCCACATCTACTGTAGCTGTGCCTTTTCTTCTTACTGGAGAAGCAGCCTTTCTTCCTCCACTCTTAAAAAGACTGAGGCTGGTGGAGGTGGAAAAGATTTTTTCCTACCCATCGGCTGTAGTCTAAGAACAGCAGATAGGCTAGAGGTGAAAAGACCCCGTGCACCTGATGATGGTGTAAGTTTCTAGAAGTCGCACGTGGTAGTGCTGGATGTGTGTACCTGTATTTCTAGTTTCTCTATAGATGAGCAATTGGCTATCCCCGTCTCGTGCCCCCCGCCCCTGACTCTGCGCTGTGTTAATGCTTACGTGTGTGTGAGAGGGATGCTAAATATGGGGCTTTCCAAGAGGGCAAGCAGTAGCATATTGCAGGTGATGTAGGGACTGCCTCAGCCTGATAGGTGTGGTTTGGGACTACAGTACTTCATTTCAGCGGTATATTTTTCTTGTTTTGTTTTGCAGAAGGAACACTGACCCTACCTTTGGTTTGTTTGTTTGTTTGTATTTTCCCCTCCAGAAAGCCCATTGCTGACCCTGCTACTGTGATACCGCTGTTTTGCAAAGCTGGAGTCGACACGCATGTAGGGGCGGGGGTTGTAACTCTGGCAATTTGTCCTTCCCAATTAGATGTGACTGTTCTGCTAGCTTTCCCTTCTTTATTCCTTTCATTTAGTTCATTGTGGGAGTTGGCTTGGGGTTTTTTCCTTTTGGTTTCTTGTTTTGATCCTGGAAGTTTAGCTGTGCAATTTGGTTTCTTCTGTGCCAACCAACTTTAGTGGCAGAGCTCTTAAAAAAATTAAAAGCTGTATCCCTCCATCCTGTCTTACTTCTTCTCTGTACGCTACTGCTCCCATTTAAACAAAGTTTACAGAATTGCTTCACTCATTTGGACACCAGGAAGGGAAGCTCTGAAATGGAGAACAACCTCATTTCCACCAGGTCTTTCAGTCTGCTTGAAGCAACGCTAATTGAAACTGTAGTCCAATTTCTATTAAGACGGATGGGCTCTCTCTGAAATTGGGTTTGTTTCTGATTTCATCCTTTCTCTTGTTTCCTTTCCAAAAAAAAGCCCCACAAAACCCAAACCCAAAGCCAAACCATTTTTAAGAGCTCTGAATAGAACTGCTTTGCCAATGGGGAATGGGTGGGGATGACTCTGATTTTCTCTTGTGCCCGGCAGCGAAAGGGTTAATGCCTGCTTTCCTCTTTGGTATCTGTTAGTTGCAGCCCATGTTGTGATCAGTCCATGTCCATGTGCGTTTTGTTCCCAGATTTAATACCGGTTAATTAACAAGCAATAAGTGAGCCTTAACAATGACAGTTGTTTCCAATCTTCCTCAGGACACCCGACCTGCCTGCAGTTCACCACAAACATGACTGAGGCTGTTAAAACCTATCAGTGGCAGTGCATTGAGTGCAAATCCTGCAGCCTTTGTGGGACCTCTGAGAACGATGTGAGTTCATTTACCTTTTCGTGCAAATAAGCGTCACTGCAAGCTACTGTTATGCCCGCCCTTGAGGAGCATGTGGCAATGGTGTGGGTCATGGCTTCACTGCTGCTTCCATACATCGCTGAGGAAGAGCCACTCCTGAGAGCAGAGATGGGCTTCTCCCCAGTGTCCCTGTTCAGTCACTGGTCTCTGCCAAAATTACCATGGGTATCATATAGGGCCAGTTATGATGCCAGTACTTGTGGCTTGTATGGTTATTCAGTAGAAATCAGCTGGAGGCCATAAACTCATGTTGCAGGGAGCTGCAAGAGAGAAATATTTTCAGTGTGGTAGTCAGGGGTAGATGTAAATGGGTGATAACCCGAGAGATGGCAGCTCTGTTTCTTCTGTCCCTGATTTTGCTTACTTCCTTGGCATGAGTTTTTAATTTTAATTACAAGACTTGGGAAACACGAAAGCATTTGAACTGGGATGGCTAGGCCTCTCTCTAGTCACCTAATCACCTACTCCAGTGATTTCCACCCTGTGATCCAGAGCCTGCAGCTGAACAGTGTCCTCTCTGTGGGGTTTTCAGTTAACAGCTGATGCTAAAGGTCCTTGGTAGTCTGTGAGAAACTTGGAGAACTGATAGTGGCTGGAGAACTTCGGAGGTGATTAGCTAACACTACATTCCCTATCGCAGAATAAAGTTGAAGCCTGAGATTTTGTTTTGCTTTAGCAGTAAATAAGGAAATCCAGAAACAGGGAGCTGTTCTGTGTTAGGAATCACGGGATACTTCAGAGCAGCTTTTTTCCCCCCAAGATATATGAAAAAGCTGCAGACCACCTAGTGGGATCATGTCATTTCCATCTGTTTCATAGAGCATGTACTCAGCTGAGTTTTGGAGAACTGACTAAGTCCAGGCTTTTGACGAGAAAGGTTTCCCCTGAAGGGATGAGATCCAGCACATGGTCACATTGGAGCCCAGCAAAGCCTGTCCTCTTCTCTCAGTACAACATATCCCTGGCCCAACAGCTTTTACTCCTGCATCATGAGGCCACCTTGGAGAGGAAGTCCTCTACCTCTCAGAGAGATTTTCCAGCTAGAAACTGAACTGCCTTTGTGATGAGAAGGGCTCTCTGCAGCCTCTCGGAAAGGTGGTGGTTGATTGTGGACGCACAAACGTGATGCCTGTAGCCTTTTACATTCCCAATAGTCTCTTAGTGTCTATGTTGCAGCTCTGCATTCCTAGCTGAGCACTGCTGGTTACCATGCTTATGTTTTCATCTTGGCAAGACACTAATTTACATCATTTTCTCTCTTCTCCTCTCCTTCTCTCCCTGTTTCCCTACTGTCGCTCCAACAACCCTGCCTCAGGACCAGCTGCTCTTCTGTGATGACTGTGACCGTGGCTATCACATGTATTGCTTGAATCCACCAGTCTTTGAGCCCCCAGAAGGTAACATATGTTGGAAGTCTGCTCTGAAAATCACAATATAGTCCTTGTGGAGACGGGAAGAATTTCAGAAAGGTGGCCTGGGCCATGCAGGGTTAAAGAAGCAGTAGCAAAGCAGAGGCAGGTAGCACCAGAAAGAAAGAAAATTGATAGACATGGAGGTCTAGTGTGATCTGAGATGTCCAATTCAATCTTGCCTAGTGTTTACCTCCTCTTCCAGGACATGGCTCTTCTGCGGGTCATGGGTACCTTTGGGTGTCCCAGATGGTATTGGACACCTCAATTTAGTCAACTGAATTGAGCTCCTGTGAACTATGACTTTGGACTTCCTAAGAAGTCAAAGTCCCAGAGAGTCAGCCCCGGACAGGGTGGTCCTCTCTGGAATAGCTGAGAATCTGTTGTCAGGAGACTGGATTAAAAGGAATGAACTTCCTTGTTCTCTGGTCTGTCTGTGCCTTGGAAGGGTGAGAGTTCTGTGGTCTGTATTACATTTGGTATGTAGTTATGTCCTGTGCAGGGGATTCAATCTGACTGTACTACAACTGGTTGTAGTTTGTCACTTGGTTGTGCAGCAGAGGAACTAGTCCCTTACCATTATTGATTCTCTGATTAAAATCTGCATAGAGCAGTAGAACTGGAGAAGGACACGTGAATGCGAATGACTGCAGTTTACATGGGGGTTAAGACAAGAATAATTACAAATCAATCATGGATTCAGGAGCTAAATGTTTGTAACTTTGATAAAGAGGAAACTAAATCAGGAGGGGAAAATTTTGAAATGCAGCTAGTAGTTGGCTAAAGGTTTCTGTTTGACTGGGAAGTGGTGTATTGAAAGTATGAAAGTGTAAAACACTTAGTGGCAATGCACACCCCCGCTGTGTTGTAACTTGTGTAGAAAGCCTATGTACACAACACCAAGGGCAGCAGAGCCTGCTTCAGAAAAAAACAGGCAATTCCAATCTTAGGAATATTTGATATCCTATTCAAGCCAATCTTGACATAAACTCTGAATACCTGGATTTGATGTCATTCCTATAAGAAGGATTTCTTCATTTGCAGGGAGCTGGAGTTGTCATTTGTGCCGGGAGCTGCTCAGAGAGAGAGCATCAGCTTTTGGCTTCCAGGCCTGAGGAGCTCCAGCAGTCAAGAAACACTTTGCTCCTGGTGTTGCCATACCAGCACACAATTCCCATCCAGAACACAAAGACACAACCCACATCAAAATGAACAGACACTCAAATGCAGGAAGAGGTATCTGTGGTATTCACTGTCACTAATGCCATACCTCCTGGGCTCTCCTAGAAGGATTGTGTACTTTCCCGATGCTCCAGATGAAATCTCTTCACTGCTGTGCATGGTTGCTGCTTGCTGTTATGGGCTCACATGCGTTATAGAAGGGGGAGGGTTGTTATATCGACATGGAGAAATCGATTTTGTGTAGCCTTGTGCTTTCTGTTTATTCTTCTTTTTTAAAGAAGAAGTAGTAAGATATCTCCCAAGGAATTATCGGTGAGTACTTTGGCTGGGAGCAGCACCAGTTGTTTCTCTTCACAGGCTTGACTGGAAATCTCTTTACTGCGACCACTCTGTATTCGTAGCGGGGCTTTGAGGGTTGCATTAGTTCAATACTTCCCAGGTCATGAACAAGGTGTTGTCACTGAGAGAAGCACTGATGAAGAATTTTTGGGGTGACACTTTTTCCCTTGGATCAAATGCTTTGATTTGGCAGATCTTTAGAAATCTGGTTTTAGTATCTCTAGAGGAAGAACAGTACCAGCACATTCATACACATATGCTTAGAAAAGCCTACCGTCTTTGGTATTTCAGGATATTCAGGCACACTGTCCCACTGCCGTGCCAGCATACAGTCCAGACTCATTTTATTTTGGTTCAGAAAATTGTGAATGCTTATATATGTAACTGCCTTGCTGTTTAGCTCAGAAAATTGAACAAAAGAAAAACGTCATCTTAAGTTTGTCATAGAAAGCAAAATTGTCAGTTTTCTGAGCAATCTAAAGTAAGTTGCAAAAAGGAACAACTTTGGCTTAGGGTCAAATGACGCACTTTTGAGTAATTTTCTGAAATTTCTGAATGAAAATGTTCTGCAACTTAAAGTTGCATTTTATTCTGGAAATGGCCTAATCAGGACTTCCAGCATTTCCAAAGTGTTACTGTTTTTTATCAAAGTAATTATCAAGACCTAGCTGAATTTTCAAATAATTTTGCCCCTAAATTCTCTACAACCACATTTTTGGCAAACGTGATAATTTGTCAAAAAAACTTCCCCAGCTCTAAAGAAGGCAATAATAATAATAATAATAATAGGAAAAGAAAGATTTCCATAATGATTTTAAAATTTAAGTAGAAATAGTTGTACTTTATTTAAACAAACCTCTACATGTGAAATGAAGAAACATTAAGCAAGAGCATCAGTTGAAAAAATATTATTATTACATTTGAGTCTCTTTGAATAATTTAAGACATTACTAGGAGGACAAGTGAGTACATTAAAAAGTTTCTACCAGATACATCTTTAAGGTTAAAAACCTGCAACTCCCCAAACTGCCAAGTGGCCCAGAATGACCATTTTCTTGGGTATGACATATATTACTTTCTATGCATAGATTTAAATGGGTTTATAATATAAAATTACAAGAGTCCCAAGCAGCATGTGACTCAGGTTGCTTGTACAAGTAGGCAAGGACACTGAAGATTATGTCCGGCATATTTATATTGGTTGAAATATTTCTGCAAAATTAAATGTCCCCGAACACTTGAAAGGACATTGTGAAAGAATATCAGTGAGCTAATCTTGCTTCCTTCTCCTGCTAATTACACTTAGTTAGAATGAGTTATATTGACTTAATGCACTTTTCCTCATTATTTAGATAGTTTCTTCACCTTTTGCGTTTTGTCCAGCTTGCACGCTGAAAGTAGCCATGTCAGCTGCTGGATTCTCCCACATACTGTCGCAGCCTTTTCTCAGGATGCAGCAGGAGTGTTTTAACCTGTTAGAAAAAGATTTAGAAAGTATTTATCCTAGTTGTATTGGACCAAATCTCGACTGGAGCAACTGCACTGGCTACCTGTGAAATGGATTCAATACCTTAGGCTTTCCATGTGATGGCCCCTCAGATGAACCAAGAGTACAAAGAAATTTGAGCATCAGGTGTGGGGAAGGTAAAACGGGAGCCTGTGGACCTGAATTAGGTGTCTGGTATCTGTTGGGACAAAGGTCTAGAAAAAATGTAAAATTAAGCCTCTTCCAGTCCGGAACTCCCCTGGCCGTGGGGAGCACTTGGAGGCCACAGTTCACCCACATGAGCACTTGCACCCATCTGTCGGTGTGGTCAAACCCTGCTGACCTGGCGCTTTGGGACCATCGCACAGTTCAGGCTGATACAAAGTCCTGTTGCTGCTATGGCCAGGAGCACAAGTGTGAATTCACCAGAGACACCACTGGGCTCTTTCACAGAAAGTGAGTGTTTAGGCAAGAGGGACTGGAGCTGAGAAGTGTGTGCGCTGGAGGGAAGTTTTGTGGTGGGAGTTTTACAGGGAGAAGTGTGTGTGCTGGTGGTGGGAGCAGCAGAGGTGGGTTAGTGTTTGGGCTGGTGCTCAGCTGGGCTTAGGGAGCTCCATCATAAAAATGGCCATCACCTTCCAGTTTCCTGGTATTTGCATTGACCTTGGGAGAGGAGTAGGACAATGTCTGCATTACCAAATGGAGAGGAAATCGCATATTGTTTTAGCCTTTGTGCTAAGCAGGCAGTGGTGGCTCACCATGTAAGTCTCAGGTAGCCCTGAGTGGGACCAGCTGGTGCAGAACGTCAGTGGTCCCTATGACAGAGACATTGCTGGATGAGCTGCGCTCTGCACGCACACCTGCTCCCTGTTTTGTGGTTTTGATCCATAGCACTGACTGTTTTGTCCTCGCACAACCGTTCTGCAGTGAATGTCATCTTGCATGTTTAGAAACACTCCTCAGTGGCTTTGCTGAAGTTTCATCACTAATGAGGTATGACGAAAGGAGAGATTGCTGGATCTTCAATGGCAAAATGCTGTTTGCTGTCTGAGATCAGTGTAATAGGGTACTTACCTGCAGCGGTCTGTCTGCGTTTCATCTCTCCAGCTTTGTGCTGTGTCGCTGTGTAGCCAGGCAGCTCCAGGTAACTTCGGCAGCAGATGAGTTGCAAGCTCTCCCATGCTGAGAACTTACTCCAGCTACAGTCTCCCTTCTCCACCAGCTCAGTCTAAGACAGGCAGCTGGGAGAGACCTCTCGGTGGCATTTTTAGCATGCATTCAGAGCCATACGTCTTGGCGTACTTTGATCGATCCACCAAGTGAACAATGCTGTACTGGCTTTACCAAGATGTGAAGAGGTCTGTGGCACAGCCACGGGGGTGAGGAAGAGGAGTTTAGAAACTCTGATAACTGATTCCCTGTCACCTAGTACCCTCCTGGGGACAGCCGTCCCGCATGACTGCTGGGATGAACACCTTGAGTGACACCATCCACTGTCAGGCAAATCTTGAAAGCCCTTGTAGCGGTGATCTGGTCTGGGTGGCCAACAATGTGAGGACTCTGGCTTTGTATGCTTCTCTCTCTCTTGCTGCAGCAGGACGTGCAAGTTTGTTGGCAACCCCTGAGGTGATCAAACTCTGGCGTACTTCAAAACTCTTCCGTGTAGGCAAAGCAAGCAATATTTTAGCACAAATCAGGGCAAACTACCATGGGACATGGTAGATCCTGCATCCCTCGAAGTCTTCAAATCAAGAACGGGCAGCTTCCCAGGTGGTGTATCTTAATTAAACACCATCTTAGTTAATCACAGGGATGTCTGACTGAAAAAGACTTGTCTTATAGAGGAAGTCAGGCTGGATGATGTAATTGTTCTTCCTGTCCTTGTTATAAAAACAGATGTTTACTGTGGGAGAGGATGTATTTAAATACAAGCTGTGTCTACATAATGGCTTTAAAGTATGTTAGTTAAACATATTCATGTGATCCTGCCGGTTTTTGAACTTTTTAGGTAACCTAAAAAAGGTCAGTTATAGAAAACTGCCTTCACTGATGCAGTGAATTGTGTTAACCTCCTTCATGCCCGCTATGGCAGCTACGCTGGTGTTAGCTACCTCAGGCTGTTCCAGAGACTGAACAATTCAGACTGTATTGTGTGAAACCATGGCTGGGGTCTGGCTTTCCCTCCATCACAGCTGTGTGCTGTGTTGCCCAGTTTTCTGCCCCGTGGTGGGAAGATGGGCTGGGGAGGGGAGCTGCTGCAGTGGCAGCCTCGGAAACCAGAGGGGTGGAGAAATGGTCACAAAAAAAGGGGCACATCCAAGTGGTACCACTGAGGAGGCGAGCTCGTGTTACCCTCACAGCGCCTGCCCTGTAGCTTGGAACAGACGGTACCTTTAAGAAACATGATGTGGGTCCCATTCTGCCTCCAAGCTGTACTTCCATAGACGTGTCTTTAGACTGAATTTATAGCATTTCTGTAAATGTACTATAGGCCAGTTCTTCAGCTAGGAAAGCCACCGTTAAGTGTGTTCTTTTGAAGCACACGTTGCTCTAAATAACTTTGAAATAATTATTTCTCAGCTTTCTTTAGAAGGAGCTGAGTAAATTCTGCCCCAAAGGAAGACTCTCCCACACTGTGCAGTGTTGTGGGGCTGTTGCGTGTTCTTCACACCTGCAGCATGTGTTTTGACAGGGGTCATTTGGGAGGTGAGGAGTGGATGGGGGTAGAAAGGAATATTAATTAAGCTTGTCACTGCCAGAGGGGTAGTGTGCACTGTGTGCAAGGAAATTCCAGGTAGAGCTGGGCATGATTTTTCTACATGGAGTAGTTTTTATTTAAAAAAAAAATATGCTTTTGAGAGTACCACAATTATTCACATATCCAAGTTCAATCTGGCAAATTATATCATACAAAAAATAAGGGGGGAGTATTGGAAGAGTTGAAAATGCTTGTGTCAATCTTTTTAGAATGAATAACTTCAATATTTGAATTTCAAAGTTAATTTAATTTCAAAATAATATTAAAAAATCCTTAATTTGAAATAAAACATTTAATGTGGGGCTCAAAAGTATTTTAGGTTTATCTGAATTAAAATTTTCCAAATTTTCCTGTTTAGTGTCATATCCACCACTGTGTATCTGCTTAATTCAGTTCCAGCATGTCAAGAAATTGCATTAGAGAAAACTTTACAGTATCTACTCAAAAGAAAGTTAGCAGCTGTGGAGGAATAGGAATCTTTAACATGATGCAACTGGTTCACCTAAAAGTAAAAGAAGGTAAATAAAATGGAGAAAAATATAATTGTGAATGCTAGGAGCACTTTCTTAAAGTGAGACATCTTGGTTCATCTTAATTGTCTGTCTGTCTGTCTAATCATTTGGCAATGCCAGCTGTTAGTCTATAAACTGTCTTTCAGAGCAGAAGGGGGAAATGCTTTATGTTTTCCCACTATATAAAAAAACTGGGCAAAGCAAAAAAGACTGTATTGAGAACAATTTGGCACCAGTCTGGGAGGGCAGAAAATGCAAATCTTATGGAGGATATGATAAAAGATGGATTGTCTTGTCCATTTTGTTATGGGAGGCTGCGGGTCGGACAAGAGGAGGTCCTCACCTGAAATTTTAACGGTCAAGCAGATCTATATTTTTGTGAAAATAAGTACTGTGGAGAGGAGCAGGCAGACAGGACAGGAAAGCCCTCTTCTCTAGGCAGTTCTGGGTTTGTAACGATTTTAGCATCTCATACTTTTGCATGATATAGTACCTGGCAGGACAAGGGAAGTATGTGTTAATTGTCTTCAGGCAGCCGGGCAGGGTGACCACCGCTGCCGGGGCAGGACCAGGCGGGTGCTGTCCCTCTCCTGCC